TAATTTCTTACATTATTTATTTGTCTTTTTAAGATTTAATAACTCTTCTGCTTTTTTAAAGAGCTGTTAGATGTATTTATGCATTATTATTTTTTGTTTTTTAATATTTAATTCCTTTTCCCTTTTGTTTTCTTAGGTTTATTTACTTTTTCTAACCTTCTTGTTTACTTAAATTCATTGATTTTCATTCTTGTTTATGTAATATAAATATTTAGAGCTTTAAACTTTTGTTTGTGCAGTGTTTTGGTTGTATTCAATAGATTCTGATATGGTTTCCTTGATTATTAGATATTTTGCAATTGGTGTTTTGATTTCTCTGATCAAGTATTAAGAGACTCATAAGCTACCCTTCCTTTGTTTCTTTCTTAAAGCCTTTTAAAAATTTAATATATATATAGAAAAGTTGATAAGTATATATACACAGTCTGAATTAGTATTTTTAAAGCCACTACTATGTAACCAGCACTCAGGTCAAAGAAAAGAAGATTGACATTACTACTAAATCACATGTTGATCCCTCCCAATAATTAGCCATTCTCCCTCCACACCCCTAAACTAACACTGAAGTTTATTTGGCCGCTTTAATTCATTGTCCTTGCTGTGGATCAGTGATTCTTAAAACTTTAATATGCATCAGAAAGCATGCTTAAGTACAATTACTAGATCTCACCCTCAGAGTTTTTTATTCAGTAGGTTTGGAGTGTGAACTGAAAATTTCTACCAAGTTCCCAGGTGATGCTGATGCTGATGCTGTTGGGCTGGGGACCATGCTTGGAAAACCACTGCTGGAGTATTTTATTCATTGTATGGCTATTCCATAGCTTATCTCATATATGTGGATGGATATTTGGGATATTTCCAGCTTTTGACTGTTAGAGTTGCTATGAACATTCTTATAGGTTATCTTTTGGTTCATGTGTGGATACATTTCTTTTGGACATATACCTAAGGAGTGGAATTTTTATTTTATGGGATATGCATATATTCCATAATACCAAATACGTAATGCCAAATAATTTTTGAAAGGTTTGTGCCATTTATATTTCTGCCATCTGTGTGAGAGTACTCATTTTTCTGTATCTATGAACACTTGATAATGCCAGTCTTTTGAAGTTAGGCATTCTTTGGATGTATTGTGTATCTCAATGTGGTTTTAATATCCTTATCTCTGATATATAATGAGGTTGAGGACATTTTCAAATGTTTATTGGCCATTATATATCATCTTTTTTTTTTTTAAGATTTCATTTATTTATTTGACAGAGAGAGACACAGCGAGAGAGGGAACACAAGCAGGGGGAATGGGAGAGGGAGAAGCAGGCCTTCCACTGAGCAGGGAGCCCGACGTGGGGCTCGATCTCAGGACCCTGGGATCATGACCTGAGCCGAAGGCAGACACTTAACGACTGAGCCACTCAGGCACCCCCATTATATATCATCTTTTATGAATTATCAATTCAGAGAGCCCTTTGTTGATTATATTTGCAGTATCACCGTTCTTTCTGTGGTTTGCTTTTGACTATTAATGGTCTTTTGATGAATAGAAGTTCTTAATTTTAATGATCTCTAGTTTATCAATCTTTCCCTTTCTTGTCAGTGCTTTTTGTGTCCTTTTAAATAAATCTTTCCTTTCCCCACATTCATGAAAACATTCTTCTGTGTTAACTCCTAGAAGTTTTATTGTTTGTCTCTTACTTTTAGATTTATTGTCCTCTTAGAATTGATTTTTGTGCATGGGAAGAGGTAGGGTTCATGTTTAACCACCCCCCACCCCGCACCTCACAAGTGCCAGTGTAGTCTTCTCTTCCTCAATGCTCTGCAAGCTATCTTTGTTATAGAACAAGTGTCAATGTGCTTGCGTTTCTCTTCATATGACTAATTTGCCTCCACCTTCCTTTACAATCAGTATCTTAAAATTTTCTCTAGTTTAACCATTACACATTAAATGTATATCCCATCAAAGGCCATTTGAAGGATCTGGGCTGTTTCTCACCAGGCTTCATTTTCAACTTGAGTTTTCCTAAAAAAAAAAAAAATTCTTAGCTCTGGTATCTGATGTATGGAATCTCTCCCCTGGCTAATAAATATAAATAATAAAATATATAAATGTAAATGTGTATGTGTGTATATAAGAAAAATTCATTCAGTAAAAGAATTGATCAGTGATTGTTTTATCATAAATTTGGCTCCATTAGTTTTTCAGAATCTACTTGTCATAATCATCTTACCTATTTTCTCTTGGGTCATAGGTGTGTACTTTGTAAAAAAGATCACAATTTGATTGGTATGTTCTTTTTAAGATATGTTAAAAAACATAGATTACAATTTTTTGGCCTGAGAACTGTTTTGGTTCCTTAAATATTTTGTCTATTTTTTTCTCTGAGACACTGAGTATTTGTTCTCTGTTAAATTCTCGAAGAAATGTTATTCTTAAGTTTTTGGAGACATTAAGGTGTTCTCAAATGTACCAGCCTATAGGAATCTGCCCTAGTAATCATAGTGTGCTTTGGGATATTTGGTTTTCTCTCCAAATTTGTGTTTATTCTCATATTCTCATCTATTTTTTGGGGGGATGTGTTTTCTGTGTTACCTTCCTAACTTGCCAACTTCTTAGATGCTCCTTGCATTCTTTAAATACAGTGTTTATTATATAACTTCCTTCCATTTCTCTAGACTTTTATCTTTATTCTTGCCATCTTTTCTTAGCAAGAATCACAAGTGGGATGAATTAATTTTACATAACCCTTAGTTGTGTAGAATAGAACATTATTTTTATCCTGTGCAGCTCTCACTTTGAGTATTTTAACGTAGAGAATGTTTGAATTAAAAAAAAATTTTCAGTCCAGGAGTACTGGTTTGAAACAAAGATGTCCCCCCTAAAGCAACATACTTCTGAAGGATCTGATCTGGGAGAGCAAACAAAAAGTGACGTGATGGAAAGAGGCCTGGACTGGGAGGGCAGAAGTTCCACAGAGAAGACACATTATAAATGTGAGGAATGTGGGAAAGTCTTCAAATATAATTCCTCCTTTATTAGCCACCAGAGAAATCATACTGGTGAGAAACCCCATAAATGTAATGAATGTGGCATAGCCTTTATGAGCAGTTCATCTCTTTTAAATCATCTTAAAATTCACACAGGCAAGCAGCCTTATAGATGTATTGAATGTGGGAAATTCCTTAAGAAGCACTCAACATTTGTTAATCATCAGAAAATTCATTCTAGAGAGAAACCTCATAAATGTAATGAATGTGGAAAAGCTTTTGGAAAGAACTCTATCCTTTTACGTCATCAGAGAATTCATACTGGTCAGAAACCCTACAAATGTAATGACTGTGGGAAAGCCTTTGCTCAGAATGTAGCCCTTACTCGTCATGAGAGAATACATAGCGGAGAGAAGCCTTTTAAATGTAATGTATGTGGGAAAACTTTTAGGGATAACTCAACTGTGTTGGAACATTTGAAAATCCATACTGGTGAAAAACCATATTGGTGTAATGAATGTGGAAAAACCTTTAGGAAGAGCTCAACTCTTGTTAGTCATCAAAGAATGCATACAGGAGAGAAACCCTATCACTGCAGTAAATGTGGAAAATCTTTTAGGTATAGCTCATCCTTTGCTGGACATCAGAAAACTCATAGTGGAAATAAACCCTATCAATGTAATGACTGTGGGAAAGTCTTTACAAAGAGCTCAACCCTTATTGGACATCAGAGAATTCATACTGGAGGAAAGCCCTATTACTGTAAGAAATGTGGGAAATCCTTCAGGCATAGCTCTGGCCTTGTTGAACATCAGAGAATCCATACTGGAGAAAAACCTTATGAATCTAATGTATGTGGGAAGGCTTTTCCCCAGAGTTCAGCCCTTAAACAACATAAGAAAATGCATAACGAAGAAAGAGCCATCAAATGTAGTTAGTGTGGTTGATCATGCAGAAGTAGTTTATTCCTTTTGACCATCAAAGAGGAGACACTCAACAAATCACACATTTAAGAAAAGTAGTCTGTGTGCCTCTATCCTGGAGAACTTCTCACTTGTAAGGATGTTCACTGTAGTATGGTTTGTACTAGTGAAATATTTGAAGAACCTAAATATCTATCAATATGGAAATAGTTACTATAGAACACTATATAGGAAGTAAAAAGAATGAGGTAGAACTCTATATAGAGCCATAGAAATATCCCCATGATACCTTGTTCAAGTTAAAAAAGCAAGTAGCAGAAAATCTACATATTGTGGTCTAATTTATATTTTAAAAAATGAAGCTATTTTTATTTGTACCTATATGTCCTGTGTATTCAAAAAGGGCTGGTAAAATAAAGTCCAAAAGTTGTTATCTTTGAGAAGAATGTTTTTATTGGTATGATGAAGTGAAATTTTGACTTTGGCTTTGTTTTTTGAAATATTTAATCATGTATATATTCATGTATCTTCTATAATTTAACACAGTTGTCTTTCTAAATAAGAAAATTCAGAAGCCATAACACACACACACACACACACACACACACACACACACACACCAAAAGCTTTTGTATGATCACAGGCTTCATGGTGTTAAAATACAAAGAACCAGACTTGGAGAGAATAATGGTACCATCATCATATTATAACAAATAATACTTAGACTATCTAAAGAGTTCATAAAGATGCATAAGAATAATATAAAAATCCCAGGGGCGCCTGGGTAGCTCAGTCGGTTAAATGTCCTACTCTTGATTTCAGCTCAGGCTGTGAGATCAAGCCTTGCCTCAGGTTCCTTGCTCAGCGGGGAGTTTGCTTTAGATTCTCTCCCCTGCTCTCCCTCTTCCCCTCCCCCCTGTGCACTCTCTCTAAAGTAAATAAATCTTTAAAAAAATATATAAAAATCCCAGTGGAGAAATGGTTTGGAATATGAATATACAGTTGTCAGAAAAAACAAGCACAAGTAGTCAAAAAGAGATAACCAGCTTTAGAGAAATGTGAATTAAAATGATCAAATTTTTTTTTGTCCTATTAGGCAAAAACTTATAAAAATATTTTGTGCTTTTGAAGGTGCAAGAAAATAGGCACAGCTACATATCGTTGAAGGAATTGTGAATTAATGAAGTGTTTGGTGATGAGAAGCATAATTTGACTATATCGACCAACTTTTAGAAAGCTACTCTTTGACTTAACATTTCTACTTCTTAAAATCCAATAAAGAGTAAAGATGGTCTTTAGAGCACTACAGTAATGAAAAGTTGGAGTCACCATAATATCTATCACCACGGCAATGGTTAAATTAAGATACATGCATTTATTGGACTACCATGCAGTCATTTAATATATAACAATTACAAAGCAGTCATTCAGTTAATCAATTAAAATTTAAAGAGTTAATTATGAGAGGGGGGAGGGTCCGAGGGAGAAGGAAACTCACTGCTGAGCAGGGAGCCTGATGCGGGACTCAATCCCGGGACTCCAGGATCACGACCTGAGCCGAAGGCAGTCGCTTAACCAACTGAGCCACCCAGGCACCCCCAAAAATATATATTTTTAAAGATTTTATTTATTTATTTGAGAGACACAGCGAGAGAGGGAACACAAGCAGGGGGCGTGGGAGAGGGAGAAGCAGGCTTCCCGCAGAGCAGAGAGCCCGATACAGGGCTCGATCCCAGGAACCTGGAGATCATGACCTGAGCCAAAGGCAGATGCTTAACGACTGAACCACCCAGGCTCCCTGAGTTAATTTTTTAAAATATTTATTTATTAGAGAGAGAGAATGAGCATGAGCAGGGGCAGGGGCAGAGGGAGAGGGAGAAGCAGGTTCCCTTGCTGAGTGGAGCTCGATCCCAGGATCCTGAAATCATGACCTGAGCTGAAGTCAGACCTTGGACTAGCCACCTAGGTGCCTGTAATGAGTTAATTTTTTAATTAACAGGGAAAGATGTCTAAGACATTAAGTGGGAAAAGAGCCAAATTGTGTAATGATGTAGGATCCATTTAATATAGTTTGTGCATTACTTCAATCTTTTATTATACAAATATATCACTGGTAGTTTAAAATATAAGATAAAGCAAGATTATTGATGAATTTTATGGAACAGAAAGGAACTAAACATTCAACTTAAACTAGAAAAGGGCAAGTATTAATTAGAAGCACAGTTGGGAATATGTGTGTTATTAGTGAAAACTGGTAAAGCTTTGGATAGCAGTTTGACAACGTGAATGTAAATCTAAATGTGTGCTCCCGTTGACCCAGAAAAGCCACTCCCAAATAATTCGACTAGCTTACAGAGATTGTATTGCTCATCATAGCATTGTTTATAATAAAGCCCTGGAAAGAGGTGGGAAAACACCTAGAATAGGAAAATGTTTAAATAAATTATAGAACTTTCATAGACTGGTATCCCAGTTACTATTGGTACATAATAAGCCACCCAGATTTAGTTACCATTTTGTTATGCTCACAGATTTTGTATCAACAATTCAGAAAGAGCATAGCAGGAACAATTTTCTAACTGTATGATGTTTGGGTCTCAGCTGGGAAAACTCAGGGCTGGAATGGACTTAACAGTTGCATGGTTGAATCATTTGAGGCTGTCACAGTACAGTAGCCACAGTGGCTAATGAGCAGTTAAAAAGAGGCTGGTCTGAATTGGGATGTGCTGTAAGTGTAAAACATACATTGGATTTTGAAGACAGTATGAAGAAACTAAAATATCTCAATAATTTTTTAATGTTATTACAGGTCAAAATGATATTTTGGATATATAGGTTAAATTAAATATATTAGAATTATTTAAAATGATTTTAATGTGTCTGCTAGAAAATTTAGTTACATATGAGACCCACGTTTGGGGTTCACATTATATTTCCTTTGGCCAATACTGATCTGAAAGCCTGCTTACAGGTTTGGTGGTTGATGCTATTGGCCAAGACCTCAGGTAGGGCCTTCTGTACAAAGGGCACTCTGGTAGGACAGCTGAAGCTGAAGTAGGCATGGACCAGGGCAGTCCTGGGGCTCTCTGTGCAGAGGGTACCCTGGCAGGACAGCTGAAGCTGAAGTGAGTACAAGCTGGGGTGTCGGGGTGCTTAGCATAGGGGACACCTTGGTGGGGTGGCTGGAGTCAAGGCAGGTATGGGACAGGGGTTTCTGGGGTCTACTTGGAGGGGGTGCCCTGGCTGGGTGGCTGGAGCTGAGGTGGATCACCCGTTGGGGTTTCCCAGGGTGCTCTGTGAAGGAAGCGCCTTGGCAAGGTGATTTATTTTTGTAAATGGAAGTTTGTACCTTTTGACTCCCCATCACCCATTTAATCCCCCTTGTCATAGATTATTGTGGATTTATTTTTGGGCTCTCTTTTCTGTTCCATTGATCTCTGTGTCTCTTTTATGTCAATACATACTGTTTTGATTACGATAGCTTTTTTTTTTAAAGATTTTATTTATTTATTTGCTAGAGAGAGAGAGCATAGGCAAAAGAGAGTGAGCAAGAGTACAGGCAGAGGGAGAAGCAGGCTCCCTGCTGAGGAGGGAGCCCGGTGCAGGACTCGATCCCAGGACCCTGGGATCATGACCTGAGCTGAAGGCAGTTGCTTAACTGACTGAACCACCCAGGCGTCCCTGTTTATGATAGCTTTGTAATATAGTTTGAAATCAGGGAGCATATTGTCTCCAGCTTTGTTCTTTTAAGATTGCCTTGGCTATTTGGGGTCTTTTGTGGTTCCATACAAATTTTAGGATTGTCTATTTCCTTTATTTTTTAAAAAAGATTTTATTTATTAGAGAGAGAGTGAGAGACAGCATGAACAGAGGGAATAGGGAGAAGCAGATTTTCCGCTGAGCAGGGAGCCTGATGCGGGGCTCTATCACAGGACCCTGGGATCACGACCTGAGCTGAACGCAGACACTTAACCTACTGAGCCACCAGGGCCCCCCAGGATTGTCTATTTCTGGGGAAAATGTCATTGGAGTTTCAACAGGGATTTCATTGAATATATAGATTGCTTTGAGTAGTGTGCACTTTTTTTTTTTAAGATTTTATTTATTCATGAGAGAGAGGCAGAGGCAGAGGGAGAAGCAGGCTCAATGTAGGACTCGATCCCAGGGCCCTGGGATCACGACCTGAGCTGAAGGCAGATACTTAACTGACTGAGCCACTCAGGTGGCCTTAGTGTGGACATTTTAACAATATTAATTCTTCCATCCATGAGCACAGAATATCTTTCCATTTATTTGTCTTATTCGCTTTCTTTCATCAATGTCTTATAGTTTTTAGTGTACAGGTCTTCCCCCTCCTTTGTTAAATTTATTTCTAGATATTTTATTCTTCTTGATGCAATTTTAAGTGGGATTGTTTTCTCAATTTCTCTTTCTGATAGTTTGTTATTGGTATACAGAAATGGAACAGATTTTGTATATTTATTTTCTACCCTCAACTTGACTGAATTCATTTATTGGTTTTAACAGTTTTTTGGTGATGTCTTTGGTTTTTTTTTTTTTTTTGGAAAATTTTATTTATTTATTTGGCAGAGAGAGACACAGCAAGAGAGGGAACACGAGCAGGGGGAGTGGGAGAGGGAGAAGCAGGCTTCCCGTGTAGCAGGGAGCCTGATGTGGGGCTCGATCCCAGGACCCTGGGATCATGACCTGAGCTGAAGGCAGACGCTTAGCAACTGAGCCACCCAGGCGCCCATCTTTGGGTTTTCTTTTCTTTTTTCAGAGAGAAAGCGTGCATGTAGGGGGCGGGAGGGAGAGAATCTTAAGCAAGCTCCATGCCCAACACGGAGCCCAATGCAGGGCTGGATCTCACAACCCTGAAATCATGACCTGAGCCAAAATCAAGAGTCGTGTGTTTAACCGACTGAGCCACCCAGGCACCCCTGGGTTTTCTATATATAAGATCATGTCATCTGCAAATAGTGACAGTTTTGCTTCTTCCTTTCTAATTTGAAATA